CCCACATAAACCACAGACTCATTGACTTAAAAGGCATTAGGACTGTACAGACCAGTGCCTTAATTTTACAGAGAAGATATTGAAGTTCAGAGAGGTTACATGCCTTGCCTGAAGTCACACAGTTTCGTAAATGGCAGAATCAGCTAGGCTCAAGACTTTGGACTCCAGGTTCACTGTTTAAGAAAAAAAAAAAGATAAAAGGAAGAAAACAGAACAAAGAAAAAGAAAACAAAATAATGAAAACAGAAAGATACCAAAACCCCAAAAACTACCCAATATGTAATGAATAACTGAAAAACTGATAGCTAAAATATGTGGAAAAATACGTGCAAAATGAAGTTAACTGACATGTTCCCTCTGTAGGCTCACCCCACAGGACTGCAGAAATCCACTGGCAAAGCCTAAGCAGCCCTCTTTCGCAGCCTCTGACACAAGCTTGCTTACAGTCTGCGTTTACATTCTGAGGCCTCGTGCCATTTGCCACCTGTGACATTACCGTACATGCCATGACCCTATATTGCCAGGAGCAGTCTTGGACACTTCAGAGGCATGTTTGAGAAGGCCTGAATAATGTCCCAGAGGAAGGGTCGCTGTTCTTCAAAGGCTGGCTTTGCTCTGGAGCCCACCCGCCTGGATCTGGTTCAGCGCCAGGCGTGAACTAGGACATGTGTCAGGGTCAGCTGTCTGCCCCCATGTGGGCGGAAGAGACCTCATGAGTCATACAGACACATCTATGGATCATGCCAACATGCTGCGTGTGGCACTTCAGTCCTTACAAAACACAATTGCATGGGAAGGCTTGAGAGCGGGACACAGAGAGGGGGCTTAAGGGATCTCCCCTCAAAATTTTAAATCCTTGAGCTCATTCATCACTGTCCCCTAATATACCAACTCATCAAGTTTTGGCAACTTCTTAGGCAGCCTCCGACGGCTGTAGTGGGCCTGCAGGTGCTGCTTGCCTGGGACCAGCAACATGCACAGTGCTGGCGGTGCCTGCGAGCAGGATCCTCGGACCCCAGCGACCCTGCACGTTCAGCCAGGGCAGCGGGGCCTCAGCAGCTCTTCTGGGTATCTGCCCCTAGGGGGTGTGATGCCCGCTGGCTACTCAGGACATTACCCAGGTCACAGGCCAGGGAGGTGAGCTGTGGGTCCCTTGCTGCTTTTGACAGCTCAGCAGAAATAAAAGTTCACCTTCAAGGTAAATGCCACCCTAAATAATTTGAAATATGCATACAAAAGAGTGTTTGTGGCATAATATATCTATGATATATATGTCATATAGACATGAGATGGTCTGAATGTTTGTGTCCCCCCAAATTCATATGTTGAAATCCTAGCCCCCAAGGTGATGATACATAGAGGCAGGGCCTTTGGGAGGTGACCAGGTCATGAGGGTGGGACACTTGTGAATGGGATTCATGTTCTTATTAAAAACAGACCCCACTGAGTTCCCTTGACCCGCCACCATGTGAGGGCACAGCAGAAAGTTGGCAGCCTTTTAGCCGGCAAAGGATTTTCACCAGAGCCTGACCGTGCTGGCACCCTAATCTCAGGCTTGCAGCCTCCAGAACTGTAAAAACTAAATTTCTGTCATTTATAAGCTACCCAGTCTATAGTATTTTGTTATAGCAGACCAAACAGATGAATATAACTAACACTAATATATTATCAATATATTGCCATATTCACAGTTTTAAAAATAATGATGAGATACTCTGCTGTGTTTCCATGGTCCATCTTAGACAGAGACCACCTCGGGCACCATGGCCCCCTGCCCCCTGCCATGCGTCCTCCTCTGACAACTCCCCACCCTGAATACTCTGAATTTTGTTACTTGTTCCCTTGGCTTTCTTGGTAGCCGTGCCCACCACGTGCACATTCCCAGACAATGTCCTGTTGAGTTTTGCCCATTTTTGAACTCTCTATAAACCAGACTGCATCATGCACCCTTCTGCAGCCAGTCCTTTCTGCCTGCCATTGTTGATAAGATTCCTCTGTGCTCATACCTAGACACGTGACCATTTACTTTTGCGGCTATACAGTGTCCCTGCTGTGAATGCGTCCTGTTGCATCTACCCATTCCTACTGCTGCTGTGGCTTTGGGGCTTGGCAGTGAGGGCCGTTGGTGGCAGTGCTCCTGCGGATACTCCAGTGCACCTGTCCTGGGTCACAGGCACAGTTGTGAAGGGTTGGATTTGCCAGGCAGCAGTGTATATGTGTCTTTAACTTTTCCAGATATTGGGGACTGAATCGTCCCCCTCTGAAATTCCTCTGTCAAGCCCTGATGCCCTGTATGGTAGTATTAGGAGGCAGGCCTTTGGAGATGACTGGGTTATGGTGGAGCCCTCATGAATGGGATCAGCGCCTTTGTAAGAGACACTGGAGAGCTTGCTTGCTTTCTCCCCCCACCGCCCCACAGCACGTGAGCACACAGCAAGAAGGTGGCCATCTGTAAGCCAGGAAGAGGGCCCTCACCAGGAGCTTACCATGCTGGCACCTTGATCTTAGACTTCTAGCCACCCAGACTATGGCATTTTGTTATGGTAGCCCAAGCGGACTAAGACACTAGGTCATTCCAAATTGTCTTCCAGTTTACAATACACTAGAATAATGTTTACCTTTATTAGGACATTTTTTAAATAGGCCTTTTTGGTAGAATACCCATGGCCCATCTTGGCTGGCAATTTCTCTCACCTGGGGGAAAATAAATAGAAAATAAGACAGGCAAATATAATGTTATTTTTTTTAAAAAAATCTTCTATTGCAGAACGTTTTTGAGATATAAACATGGAAACACATTTCCTGTACTGCATCTCTAGTATGCAAGGATGAAAGGATCTGAGAGAAACTTCTAGAAACTAGACAGCATCCCAGAGGGAAGAGGAAGTCCATTTGACATCAACCCTCTGCTGCAGATGATGGGCACAACTTTCCCTAAGAACTCACAATCACCGAATTAAAGTGTTAAATAAGAAAGTCCCTGTTAGGTGTTATTGAAATTGAGGACAGAGAAATTTGCACATTTCTTTTTCTAGTGTGAGAAGCACAAAGAGAACTTCACAAGAACAAAGCCCTCAACAGCAGTGGGTCAAGACCCCCTGATCCACAGATGTGAGTTCAGATGTCCTTATCACCCTCTTCTTTCTCTCTCTTGCTCAGGACCCCCCAGCCTTGGACTTCAAGGGGCATCCATGCAGCCCCAGAGGACAGGGTGATGGTAGTGACAATGTTGGGGAGTTAGGTTCTGTGGGTGAGACTTGACCAATGGGATCTGGAGAGGACAGCGCTCAGTACAGTTCTCCAGAAGCCTGAGCTAAGGTGTGGGTCCATCTCACGATCCTTCAAGAGAAGTTCCAGGGGCCAGATGACGAGGCTGCTGAGAACTGTAGGGTCTTCATGGAAACACATCAACTTTACAGGGCATCACTCTTGCCCCACCACCCATTTTCCTCATCAGTGCCCTGGGTTCTAACTTCCTGCATAAGCACAGCACCTTGATCCCACTTTGCAGCTCTATTTTCTCTGTGACCTGCATTAGGGTAGGAAAGAAAAAGGAAGGGTGAATAAACACCTCCTCTGAATTTCTACCTGGGCTGCTGTAGATGAATGTGTGAATCAAGAAAAGGCCGCTACAGCTGGCTGGCTTTGGCCTCCCCTTTCTTCTGCCCCTGGAGACACTCCTTCTGTCCCCTGCACAGGAATCCTGGGAAGTCTGGGGCTGTTTCTTCCTTCATTTTCTCTTTGTCAGCCACTTGCTAGGGACACCTTCAGCTGAGTCCTGAATCCTTTGGCTTGGGTATTCGCAGGTGCGTGACCTTTCTAAGGCATATTTCATTGAACACCTCATTGCTGACAGTGGACTGTGTAGTTCATCAGTAGCTAATATCACCTGGGAAGGGACAGAGAGATATGTTTCAGGACAGAGACCCCTGTCCCGAGAGGCACTGAAGCTTAAAGAACAAGTCCTTTGTCTGAGTCCTTGTTTTGCTTCTTGTAAGAGGTGGAATTTTATGCAAGTAACTTAATACAGATGTCCATACTCTCATCTAAAAATTGGGAATAATTATAACTATGCCTTTTCAAGAGGATTATTGTAAGGATTAAATGAAATCATGTGGAGATGAAGTGTTTTGTGGGTCATACAATTGCTATCTATCCATTCATCTACCTACTGACCTACAAATCTATCTACTCCTCTTTCTTCTTATGTACATTGTGTGTGTGTATCCATCCTTCCATCCATGCATCCATCCACCGGCCTCTCCGGTTCTCTACCCACCCATCCAATTAGCCCTCTCTCCCCATCAGGAAGACAGCAGACTCCAGACTCTGGGGTGACATATCAGTTGTCTAAAGGCATAAATCTAGCATTTATAGTCAAAGTGGGAACAGTATGATTAATAAACTATTATATAGGTACCAAGGAAAAAGCTGCCTTAATATTTATCAGAACTTGAATGTTTTTAGTTGCTCTGGGGGATTTAGCATATTGCTGAAGCACCGTTTTTCAGTGTTTCTGCTTGACCTCAAATCCAATTTACTGTGCCATCTCCCGGTGCCTCCAGGAGGAAATACAACTGCTGGTGACTGGCTGAAGGGTTCACTGTGGGCTGTGGAAGGAGTGGGAAGTATATCTGCACAGGCTAGAACAATGATTCCCTACCTGAGGTTGAATTTGTGAGAACCACTTATAAAGAGACCTAAATAACAATTTTTAAAAGTGACAACCCCACAAGCACTTAAAAAATCACTAAATATCTTTTCTGTAATACATCTAGAATTTTCCTCTCCCCCAAAACTGTCATAAACAGGACATTTATTTCAGGACAAAGGTGGTTAACCATTAACCATCTCCACCCACATAATGGTGACATTGCTGTGGCCCCGGAAGCCCTGAGTCCTCTCCGTTCTCATGTACGGTATAAGCAGCTGATCTGCCCACGCCTGGCCCTGGCAGAGCTGTGTGCTATTCCTGTGGAGTCATGTGTCTTCTCACAGGAAGGAAAGCAGATTCTCTGCACATCTCAGCATTTGCCTTATTCCATCTGCTGATCTGTCTTCTAGGATTCTGGTGTCCTGTGAGGTGCTCCTTGCAAAGGTCTTCCACAACCAGGTAAGGGCAGATGCTGCCCTAGAAGCTAGCAATTCTCAATCTTGACTTCCACTGACAATCACGTGGGGGCATAAAAACACCATCCTGCCCAGGCGCCCTGCAGACCTTCAGGGGTGGCACCCAGTGATTTGAGAACCCTGGGCCCTAACCCAGTACTTCCCAGCCCTTGATCTCAGCAAACCTGGGTTTCTGAAAGTGGGATAGAAATGCCTGCTATGAAAGTGGGGTTCTTTGTTTTTTCAAATTCAGCAGAAAGTAAGTTAGTGGATAGAATTTTCTTAAATTTAAAATTTCTCCTATAAATTGTCATGAAACTTTGGGGTCTAATACTGCCTGTCTGAATTAAAATACTGCTTACATGAATTAAAACATCAAACATCATATCTTATTTAGTCTACATTGTTAATGTAGACTAAATAAGACATGATAAATTATACAAACGCTTCATGATGTTACGACAGAACCCCACATGATCTGCCCACTGAACACATCTAAAACTATGGCAACGACTAACATTTTATATTAATCAGGGTTTTCCAGAGAAACAGAACCAACTGGGTGGGGGAAGACTTAGAAAGAGAAAGGGAGATTTATTTTAAGGAGTTGGCTTACACAACTGTGGAGGTTGCTAGTCCTAAATCTGCAGGGTAGACCAGCAGGCTGGAGACCCAGGGAAAAGCAGGTGTTGCACTCAGTACTGAAGGCAGTCTGGAGCAGAATTCCCTTTTTCTTCATCAGTCTTTTTTCTCTTATGGCCTGCTCACGTTGTGCAGGGTAATCTGCTTACTCAAAATCTACTTATTTAAGTGTCAATCTCATTCAAAACAACATCTTCACAGCTTCACTTATTTTTACCTCATATCTGACTTCATATCTGGGTACCATGGCCCAGCCAGGTTAACACATAAAATTAACCATCATCCCAAACTCAGAGATGAAGTTGCTGAAGCTCAGAGAAGTGAACACACTCATCCAAGCATGTGTGGACACAGTGTGGAGAGCCAGGATCACTCCCACACCTGCCTGATCTGAAGTGGGAGATGATTTCCTATCTCACCAGTCAACTTCCTTCAACACGGGCTTGTAAAGACCACTAAGGACTCAGGTTTGACATGAGGAAGACCTTGGCAGGAGAGAGTAGAGATGACCTAACACTGGGACAAGCTGGCACAGGTATGGTGCACAGATACGTGTGTGTGTGTGTGTGTGCATGCCTGTGCACATGCCCCCATATGCATGTGTGTGTGCATGTGTGGATTCTCTGGTGATAGATGGTGGGGTGAGGAGTGGGCACAGTTGGTCACTGGCCACAGAATCTCCATCCCTGGAAATGTTCTTAGAACAAAATGGGTGATGAGCAGTCTTCGGTGGCTCAGGTGAAATGACCAGGTGAGACTGAAGCCTGGGCAGGGCACATTCTCCCACTCAAAGGCCATGTGTTTGCAGCAGTGCCTTAGAAGCCTCCAGAACAATCTAGAGAATCAGGTCACCTGACAGACAGGGCTCTCCTGCTTCTACCCTGATGAGCCCCACCCTTATAGATCACTCTGATGGTAGTGTGTTTAGTACTGCACTGTCTCTATGGTGTCCTGTCTGTATGGTTGCTCAGTACCTGTCCTTCTCTCTGCTGGGTCTGTCACTCTCTGGAAAATGAAGTTGGCACCCAGGACTCCTTGCTGCTGCCTGCAAGCCTCGCCAAAGCATCCCTGTCTGGAGGATGCTCACCTCCTGGGCTCGCCAGGGCTGCAGGTATAATTCCGGGGTCTTCAACTGTGCTGGCTCTTCTGCTCTGGGTCTGACCTGCCCGTACCTGTTGGTGTCAAGAACAGATATTTATTGAGTCCCAGCCCTGACACCTCACTCTCTTGTGAGCCTTGGCTGAGCAGAAGGCCTGCCTCCCTCTGAAACACCCCATGTGTGCGCCTGCAGACTTTGCTGAGGCTGTTTCCCATCCTTCACGCTTTTTAGCCCTCTCCGCTTTTCAAAGCCAAATTCATTATTAAACTTTCCTTCACTGAATTCCTGTATTTTCTCTTCTCAATGATGTAATCTGTCACTCAGTTGACTACCATCTGGCATGAATGAGCTGCTTCCCAAGCTAAGATAATGGAAATCTCTTTGAGAACACGTTTACTATTCACTGTGCACCTGGCTCTTGCTGAGTTCAGGTGTTAATAAGGGCATGACATTATTTATCAAGTGCCTCCCATGGCACTGGAGTGCACCTAGCAGGGAACAAAGCGATCAGAAGCCATGAGTAGCTAAAGGACCTGCTGAAAGCGTCTTGGCACACATTGAATCAAGGTGTTGAATAGCTCTCCTGGCAGACCAAAATTTATTGTGGAAGGGTGGACTTGGCACTCAGTGTCCTTTCCCTCAAATAGATGCTGTTCCTCTCACTCAGCTTCAGTGGTTCAGCAAAAGAAAGAAGAGGTGGCCCTTCAAGTGTGAGGCAGTCACCGAGTTCTGTGCTGGCTCACATTCAGAGGAGGCTCGCTTGGCCCTTATTTGCTGACAGGTTGTGGCCATGGTGAGAAGCTTCTGCCTCCTCCATGTGGGAGGGATCCCCATTATGGGAAATTCTCCAGCAGTGGGTTCCTATTCTTGCAGATTTATGTTTCTGGGTCTCCATATTTGGCAAAAGGTTTACTCCCTGGACACAGAATGCCCAGATGGCCTGGCAGGTGTACCACATGCATGTACTTGGGAAGAACACGTGTGGTGGCAGCAAGCCGAGGGGAGGCCTCTGCACAGCTTGGGACTCACGGAAATGCGAGGGTGTGTGTCCTGGGCAGTGCAGCTTCTCTGCAGTCCTTACGGCCAGGAGGACACCAGGAAATGCCCTTGGCTTTAAGCGGCCTGCCTTTTTTGGATTTGCTCTGCTGAGTTAGCCGCCCCTGGTGCTGCCCTGGCACCCCAGCCCTGCATCAAAAGAGGGAAATATTCCACTCAACTTGGCACTTACATGAGGTTGTCTTGAAATTCAGGTAATGTTTCCTTGTGTCCAGTCTTGTCCCTATGGTGACGAGCTCTGAGAAAAGCTATGCCATGACTTTCCTGTCCTGAATGCAGCCATGAAGCAGGGGCCCTGAGCCTTGGTCCGTCCAGGGCCCCTCCCAGCCCTGCAAGCCTTGACCATTCCTGAACCTCTTTGAGCCTTAGATTCCTCATCTATAAAGTGGGGCTTAAAAAGAGCACCGACCTCACAATATATGTAAGTCAAGTCACTATGCTCTATACCTTAACTTACACAGAGCTATGCCATTTGTACCTCAATAAAACTGGAAAAAAAATAGCACCAACCTGTTAATGTTGCCCAGAAGACTGCAGACAGAACACCTGTGAAGCTCTTAGAACAGTGCCTGCCCCTGCTCAGTGTCTGATCATTACCTGCAGCACATTTCATGTGGCTAAATTTGTGGGAATTCCGTGGTTGATTCATTTCCCATAGACTTCTCCCTGACCGTGACCCCCTAGGATGCTGGGACCCGGCACTGCCCACTCATGAGTCAGTTGCATTTCATTGCTGGACCCCGTCTCACCCCTCACCACCTCCTTGCTCTGCTCTAGGCCCAGGGTCCAGGGGTCACCACAAAGCTACAGGGCTTTTCACTCAGCAGCTTCCTATGACAAGTCCTCAAGGAGGTGTGGCTGGGGGTGTCTCAGACTTGGCTTGGCTGAGTGTGCACAGGCTGCCTAGCGCAGTAGAAACAGGCACAGCAGAAAACCCATAGCCCAGACTTGCCCAGGGAGGTCACTGGGAGCCACATGACCTCTGGGAACCTCATCTGGAATATCCACGTTTGAACCAGTTCAACTTCACAGTCCCTGGGGCTCAGAAGTCTCTAATTCTAAGGGGTTTGCCTTCTTTGGTTGGATACAGAAAGGACAGATCAGAAATAAAAGCTGACAATAGGTGTCAGGACCAGGTGAGGGACTGACATTAAAGAACATTTCCTTGTGATGCTGGTTTAGACGCAAGCCTGGTGTGTGTGTTTGGGGCAGGAGGCAATGCTGGCAGGTGCGGGGGGATAAGATGGGCCAACGAGACCAGGTCTTCTGGACTACAAGCAGCCTAGGCTCCGAGTCTCCGAGTGTGACAAAGATTTCACACACAGGAGCTCCTCCGGCAGGTTTGGGTGAGAGCACAGGAGAACACACTTGCCAACAGTGCAGAAGTTGGGGCTGGTTAGAGCCGAGAGTAGTGGAAAGCTCTCCTTGCCCAACATCATCCATTTAAAAGGCACAAAACCAGAAACAAAAGGTCTTGCAGGGTGATAGCTCAAAAACCTGCCATCAGAGGCTGAAAGCCCAGACCCCGAGGCTGGGACTGGCTCCGATGCACACACACGGGAGTAGTAAGAACTGTCACATCTCCAAAGCGGATATTCTATGAGACTCCAATGAGGAGAGGGTGTTTTTGGTTTTTATATTAGTAATACAAAATTATTCCTGAACCAAACTCTAGAGCCCTGGCTCATGGCTTGAGTTGCATGTTGGTATCATCCGACTTTAAAAGCTCCTCACCCCTGGCAGCCCAAGATTCAGATGTAACTGGGGAAGGGGTGCAGCCCGGTTAGCAGGGTTTTTGAAACAACCTCAGATGGTTCTAGGTTTGCAGTAGGGGTTCCCTGAGTGCTGGGCCCTGTGGACCTGCAGCCTTGTCCTGCCTGGGGCTCATCCCACGCCCTCTGCAGACCTGGTGAAGCAGCACCTGCATCTTGCATGGTGATGAGTTTACACATGGGCTGAGAAACACAGCTAGCGTCTAGGGCAATCCTGGTGCTAATCCAGAAACAGCTCAAGTCAGAGCTCCCAGCAGGTCTCAGAATGGAGCCATCCAGTAAGGCTCCTGCCTCCTCCTCGTGTGACACAGCACCAGTCGGAGCCGGCTTCCTCCCCCCAGGTGCCCTGGCAGCCGCTCGGGGCAGGGGCTGGGACGGGCCGAAGCTCTGGGACTGGCCCAAGAGCCCCATCCTCTCCCTCAGCCCTTCTTCTGCTTTGGTTCAGGATGCATTTTCATTACTTTTCAAACTACTATGCCTACTAAATACCTACCTCAGAATACGCTGCTGACACCACAGCCTCTCCAATCATTGTCCAGTTGTCGTGATCCGTTAAATGACCCCAGCTGCTTTGCTCGAGTGCATTCTTAGGACTTAGGTGAAGGTGAGGAGGAATGGTGGGGTCAAGAATGGCTGGTGGCTTGTGTTTTGATGTGATTTCAGTGGTGTAAACGGCAATGCTGGTGGAGAAGAGGGTTCAGCACTGTCGACAAACCCAGCGGCCGAAGTGGGGCAGGATGGGGCACCACTCACTGTGGGCCTCGGCTCTCCTTCCCTCAGCCATGGGGGGCAAGAGCAACAGTGGGGAGCAATTGGACAGAGCCTGTCCGGTCCTCCTTCCTCCACCTGCCAAGAGGCCACAATCTGACTTCTCAGAAACTGCTAGAAAGAGAACAACAGGCACCTCCATGCAGCCAGTGCGGGGGCAGCGCTGACTGCTTAGCCCCGTGTGCGCACTCAGCCCTGCCTGCAGCCCAGCCTTTCTGTCCCCAGATCCCAGTGCAGTGGCTCTGCCATGTCCTCCTGGAACTGCTCCTGGGCAGATGAGAGTTCCTGTGGCTCTGAGCCAGCTCAACCCCCAGGGGCAAATTATCCTGGGGGAAGACAGATCGGACACTCCAAAGGGAGGACATTACCTCAAGGACCCCACAACTAAGCCTTCTTTCCGGACTCAGTGGCCTCCCTAAACACCAGGCTAGGGCCACAAGGAGGTGGCAGGTGCCACGTCCCTGAAGTCCACTAATAGGATGAGGCTGCAGATGCCGCTGCACAGACAATATGCCCACCATTGGGCTGGGGGCTCAGAGGCCCAGAAAGATGGGCAGGAAGAAAAGTTATTCACCCTGTGATCTCTCCCCACTGGCCCGTGGCCACATTCTAGCCTGTCTGGCACTCTGCAGGGAATTTACCCCCAACCAAATGTGGGAGCAGAGTTCAGCCTTTCCAGATGGCTCAAAGAAGAAAAATAAAGTACACTTTGGTACACTCACTGTCTCAACTACACCTCCTCTTATACTCATGCACAACCACACACCCACAGTAGCTCACCCACACCCACATTTACACACCCAGAGAATCACCCAAATCACCAACTTGAGAAGTCTGTGTCAGCCAATCCACACACTTCTTGAAGATGCCTGTAACCAGCTAGATAATAAACGAACTCTTGGAAGAATGCTGAGATGATGCCCAAGGTCACAGAAGCCATGCTCTAATCCCATATCAGATCTGGGATCCCTGCTCTTTGTGCAGGGGTGCTGAGAGTTCTGATTAATGGTTGCTTCTGGCCCTAAAGGCTCATTGCTCACATCAGAGGCTTGGACATAGGGCTCAGCTGCCTTACTACTACAAGCTGACAGAGAGAGAGAATGAAGAGTGAGACTGTCCCACAGACCTGCCAGGGCACATCAACAATCTTGACACTCCCTCAAGCTCTGATCTGTGGGTGCTGAGTCCTGGGACAGAGCTGGGCCATAGGTTCAACATGGGGACTAGAAGACTGCTTCATGGAAGTCCCAGGACTCAGCTTTGAAAAAGGTATCTCCTGGGTCTTCAGAGTCTTATCAATTTGTGGACAGATTCTGAAAATAGCAGCCACTTGACTTCCCCAAGCTCCTCAAAGAGCACTTGTGCACTCAGCAGGAATGTAAAAGATAAATGTCTCTTAGATTCCTATTGTGGAATCAAATCAACTAAAAATTCATGCAACCCTCTTTCTTAGAGTCAGCCTTCCTGGACGATGCAGTGGAGGCCTGACTATCAACTCACAAAGGATGCCCACTCTCGCCACTTTTATTCAGAGTAGTACTGGAGGTCCTAGCCATGGCAATCACACAAGGAAATAAAAAGCATCCAAATTGATAAGGAAGACATAGAACTGTGACTATTTGCAGATGACATGATATTATGCATGGAAAACCCTAAAGACTCTGCCAAAAATCTA